TAAAACTAAAAAAAAAAAAAAAATCAATACTTATGGTTATGACTACGCTTCTGATTAATTGGTTATTTATTATGTATCAGACACTGTGACAACTCCTTCCATATCCAATTTTTTTCCCATCTAATTCTCACCAAACCCCAAGAGGTAGGTGTTCTCACCACTTTACAGAAGTGGCAACAGGCACAGAGAGGTGAAGGGACTTGCCTAAGGTCACACAGCTAGTTAAGAGGCTGAGAGGGACTCTGAACCCAAGGGGAATCACTGTTTGACTCCGAAACCCACTGTACCCCGGTTTTGTCCCTTCCCCCATCTTCAAGGTTTCATCTCCTCTTGGGGCCCTCACCTCCTTCTTTTCTTCCGGGCGGATTTCTTCTTTTTCTTCTTCCCCCTGGAGGAAGGTGGTGGCGTCAAGTCTTTGTCGCGGGAGGCACTGTGGGGAGCAGAGTCGGGCATTAGAGGATCCAGGGTTCCCCAAGCCCCCCATCCAGGGCTGTTGGCCACCAGGGAAGAAGGACCCAGTTCCTTGGAGGATGAAGGACCCATAGTAAATGCCTAATTTCCACCTCATGGCTGATTCAGCCGTACTTCAAATTAAGTGCCTCCAATAAAGAGTTAATGCCGACCTAATGAGACAGACGCTGTACGTTACCCAAACACCAATTGATTATTTAAAACAGAATTATAGAGGTTAACTGCTCCTTAATAGATTTATTATTGAATTTTCAAATGGTTCACCTCGGTAAATAAATCACTTTTTAAATAATTACTCGGCAGTCCAGCCCCTTCCCTCCCTAATACATCTTGTCTGTAGTTCCTGCTGGAAATTTAATAGGAGGCGGATATGTTAAAAGCAGCTGATTATTAAAAGTATATTTGCTGAGGTCTAATGTAATGAGATACATATCTTATATCGCCTCGCAGAACCTCAAAAACCTCTGCTCTTCAGGAATAATTATTTCCCATTCAATTAAATTCAAATGTTCAGGCTGCAGTTAAATGAAGTCAAGTTATCTCCTTTTATAATTGGGGCAGACTCCAGGGGATTTTTTAAAAACATTATCCCATGGCAAAAGGAGATGGTTGGGATGAAAAATTGCTTGGGAATTGAAACATGCCAACCCAGCTGGGCCACAGTGGGGAAAATGTTAAAATATTAAGAAGAATATTATTGTCATGATTGGTCATAACGCAACTACCACTTATTCCCTTATTCTGTGCCACGCGTTCTATATACTTCGATACTCACAAAAAACACTTTGAGGATATGATTTTAATTGCCTCATTTTACAGATGAAGAAATTAAGGTTCAGAGAGTTGAACGGACTTGCCCGTGGCTGCACAGTTAGGAAGTGTCTTGAGCTGGGAAAAGAGGTCAAGGCCTGTGTGATTCCTACCCTGAGAGCTTTCCCACAAAACCAGCTGCGTTCTCAAATTTGTTTGTGTAGCCATTCTTTGGGAAATGACCCAGTTCTTTACAGAACATCATAAAACGCTGCCATATTTAATTCCATTCTAAGAATCTGGATCATTATGGTTAGTAGAAAAAATAATGATAAAGTGGTTACAATATATGCTATGGTCTCTGCATTGCCAGTGTAAAAATCATATAGCGATAGCTAGAACAGGGGCCGGCAAACTTTTGAGACGGAAGAGCCAATCCTGTCTCTCACAACAATTTAAAAATTCTTCGAGAGCCACAAAACAAATGAAATCACCCTTATGTGAATAATATCCTTTAAAGATTTTAGAAACGAAACTATGATCGTTTTATTTTCATTTTCAATTTTACTTCAGAGCCACATGTACGTACCCAAAGAGCCGCATGTCGCTCACGGGCTGCAGTTTGCCGACACCTGAACTAGAGCATTTTCAAGAGAGTCACTTTTTGCTGGTTAAAAATAAATATCCTAGGGATTAAGTACTCAGCAACGTAACTACACTTACACGTTATAAAAGACAGAGCACACCGCACATTTCCAGGAAGCCAGTAGGCTGCCTGTGTAAATGTGGTGGGCCACTTCCAAATTTTTCCTTCAATGAGTGCTTGACACAGATTAAGAGCCTAATAAATGTTTGGTGAGTGACCAAGTGAAGGATGAATGGATGAAATAACTTAGCCACTGGTTAAATCATCTTGTTTCATAGAAACATTTCCCAGTGTAACAACTGCCAGGAATTTGAGAGAAAAAAAAACCCCGAAAAACATTTAGGGGAGAAATAACCTAAGATAAAAAAACAAACGGGAACAAACAAACAAACAACAACAAAAACTTTTAAAACTGTCTTATTTTTTAAATATTTTTTTATGTTTCAATTACAGTTGGCATACAATATTGTATTAGTTTCAAGTGTACAACATAGTGATTATTTATATAACTAACGATGTGATCACCCCAATAAATCTAGTACCCACCTGACACCATACATAGTTATTACAATAGTATTGACTATGTTCCCTGTGTTGTACCTTACATCCCCATGATTATTTTATAACTACCAACTGGTACTTTTTAATCTCTTCCCCTTTTTCACTTATCTCCCCAGCTCCCCTCCCATCTGGCAACCATCAAAATGTTCTTTGTATCTGTGAGTTAGTTTCTGTTTTGTTGGTTTGTTTATTTTGTTTTTATAGATTCCACATATAAGTGACAGACAAATATGGTTATTTGTCTTTCTCTGTCTGACTTATTTCACTTAGCATAATACCTTCTAGGTCTATCCATGTTGTTGCAGATGGCAAGATTTCATTCTTTTTTTTTGGCTGAGTGATATTCCATTGTATATATGTATCACTTCTTTATCCATTCATCTACTGATGGGTACTTAGGTTGCTTCCATATCTTGGCCATTTATTGTAAATAATGCTGCAATGAACATTTGGATGCATATGTCTTTTCGAATTAGTGTTTTGGGTTTCTTCGGATAAATACCCAGAAGTGAAATTATTGGGTCCTTCTTTGTGTCTTGTTATAGTCTTTGTTTTAAAGTCGATTTTGTCTGGTCTAAGTATTGCTATCCCAGTTTTTTTTGTTTGTTTCCATTTTCATAAAAATATATTTTTCCATCCCTTTACTTTCAGTCTGTGTGTGTCTTTCCCTCTGAAGTGAGTCTCTTGTCGGCAGTATATGTAAGGGTCTTGTTTTCTTATCCATTCAGCCACCCTATGTCTTTTGATTGGAACTTTTAATCCATTTATATTGAAAGTAATTGTTGACATATATGTAGTTTTGCCACTTTATTATTCTTATTTTTTATTTCTTCTTTTTCTTCTTCTTAAAGTAGTCCCTTTAACATTTCTTGTAATACTGGTTTGGTGGTGATGAACTCCTTTAGCTTTTTATTGTCTGGGAAGCTCTTTGTCTGTCCTTCAATTCTAAATGAAAGCTTTGCTGAGTAGAGTAACCTTGGTTGTAGGTCCTTGTTTTTCATCACTTTGAATATTTTGTGCCAACCCCTTCTGGCCTGCAAAGTTTCTGTTGCGAAATCAGCTGACAGTCTTATGGAAGCTCCCTTGTAGGTAACCAGCTGCTTTTCTCTTCCTGCTTTTAAGATTCTCTCTTTGTCTTTAACCTTTGGCATTTTCATTATGATGTGTCTCGATGTGAACCTCTTTGGGCTCATCTTGTTTTGGAGTCTGCACTCCCTGGATTTGTATGTCTATTTCCTTCACCAGGGTAGGAATGTTTTCAGTCATTATTTCTTCAAATAGGTTTTCAAATCCTTGCTGTCTATCTTCTCCTTCTAGTACCCCTATGATGTGAATGTTATTATGCTTGATGTTGTCCCAGAGGCTCCTTAAACTATCCCATTTTTTTTTTTGGATTCTTTTTTCTTTTTGCTGTTCTGATTGGGTATTTTCTGCTACCTTATCTTCCAACTTGCTGATTCGACCCTTTGCTTCACTTAATCTACTACTGTTGATTCCCTCTAATGTATTCTTCATTTCAGTTATTGTAATCTTCATTTCTGACTAGTTCTTTTTTTATGTTTTCTATCATTTTTATGTTTCCTGTCTCTTTGTTGAAGTTCTCACTGAGATCATTGAGCATCCTTATAACCAGTGTTTTGAACTCTGCATCTGCTAGATTGCTTGTCCCATTTTGTTTAGTTGGTTTTTCTGGAGTTTTGCTCTGTTCTTTTGTTTGGGACATGTTTCTTTGTCTCCTCATTTTGGCTGCCTCCCTGTTTTATGTCTCTGTGTATTAAGTAGAGCTGCTATGTTTCTCAGTCTTGGTAGAGTACCTTTATGCAGTAGGTGTCCTATAGGGTCCAGTGGCGCAGTCTTACTGGTCACCTAAGCCAGGCGCTCCAGGTGTGTCCCTTTTGTGTGTTGTGTGTGCCCTCCTGTTGTAGTTGAGGCTTGATTGCCATTGGTACATCAATAAGAGGGACTGATCCTTAGGCTGATGGATTGTGAGGACTGGCCACGACTACAGCGGAGAAACTGTTGTACAGGAGCTGACCCTATGGAGTAGGATTCACTCTACGGGGGCTCTGGTGCCTGCCCAGTTTGCCCTTTTGGTGTGTCATTTGTGGAGGTGGTTGGGTGGTGCTATGGTGTGGTCTGAAAGAAGTCATCAGGTGTGTTGGTTTTGGGGCCTCTTGGGAAGGACTCTGGTGCAAGCCAAGGTCAGCCACTGCCTGTGCTCTGCCTGGGACCACTTGGTATGATCTACAAAGTGACCTACAGATGGTTGCCACTTGCACTGCGTGAAGGTGCCTGGAAAAGGCTAAGCAGTGATCTGAGGCCAGCTGCCACTAGTGCCAGGCTTAGAGCTGCTTAGCAAGAGGTATGGGGCATGCTGAGGCCAGATGCTGCTTGTTTGGGGTTTATAACCTTTGAGGTTTTAGGAAAGTCAGCAGCATGAGCCAAGACAGGCTATTTGTACAGAAAAGCCACTGGAAGCTTAGGTGGGCTCAAAAGTTGAGTGGGGCAGGGTCTCAGGGAATCATGAAGGCAGGGCTAACGGTGTTAGCAGGGTTGATGGGGACTCAGAACTTCTCTTCCTAGGAGGAAACTCTGCAGCTGAGATTTGCCTCCTGATTTTTAACAGTCACACGCAGATGTGGGACCAACCTGTTCTGTGTGTTTGCCCCTCCTACCAGTCTCTAGGTGGCTTCTTCTGTATATCCTTAGTTATAAAACTTCTGTTCAGCTAGACTTCGGATGATTCTCAATGATGGTTGTTCTGCAATTTAGTTGTAATTTTAATGTGCTTGTGGGGGGAGATGAGTACAGCATTTACCTCCTCTGTTATATTGACTGGAAGCCTAAAAGTATGTCTTATAAAAAACAGAGAAAGATCTCAATGCTTCAGTCAATTACTCTCACTTCTTTCTGGAACCTCAGTGTCCAGAGGAGCAAGGTTTACAAACCACTACCTTAGACTCAGATTTAAGTGATAGGGGTAAAATCAAGAAAGCCCTGGACTTTGAATAGATTTGAGGTCTGTGAAGGCGGATTGTCCACCCCCTCCATAAATCTCAAATGCCTTTATGCAGGTGGGTCTGCATTTTGTCTACCTCTTTCTCTCCCGGCACCGGTTCTCCTAGGTGTGCCCTCCCAGTGGGGCTGGAGGAGCCAGGAGAGTGGCGAAGCACACTGCAATTACCTATCAGCAGTTAAGTATGCAGTGGTTCAGAACCCAGTGGTCAAATATTCAGAGGGTATGTAGGCAACACTAAAGCATGCTGCCTCTACAAACTGACACACCTGGATGCAAATTCTCGCTCTATGACTTCCTAGCTCAGCGACCTCTCTGAGTACCATTTTCATCACCAGCAAGATGGGAATAAAACAGGATACCTGTGTCCAAAGTTTGTTGCAAGGAGTGAAGGCGCTCACTCATGCCGGGTGCCTTGGTTGGGCACGGAGCAAGTTCACAGTAAATGTAGTTTCTATTATTAAATTACTGTGACTTTCATTATCATGATTAATAGTCTCATCATCATTATTGTGGTTTTTATCATGCCAGAGAGCCGGTCACAGGAGAAAGGAGCACGAGGCCCAGATGCTCCACAATCAAATTGACAGAACGGCATCGTTTTTCAGATTTTCATGCCCAGAACCTGTTCATCCGGCTCCATGAGACTCCAACTAATGCTTTAAGCACCTCCTGTACCCTGAGCCCACTGTCAAGGTCTGCGTCAGGATCTGAGCTGATTTAATCTTCTCCCAACCTGGAGAATTAGATCTCACTATGCCCATTTTATTGTTGTGAAAACTGAGGCCCAGGAAGGAAAACTCAAGTGGCCAAGGTCACTCAGGTAATAAGCAGTCGCGTCCAGCTTTGAACACAAGTCTGCAACACACTAACTTCCCTTTGACCGTCTGGGAGACAATGTTTTCAACGTTAGGAAATTCCCGTCCTCTCTCCTTCTCCCTCCATCCTCCTCAGCCTCTTATGGAAACAACTTTTTCCCTGTTTCCTGCAGGCAGTTCCCCAGATCTGATGTTGCATTTTCTTCTTTCCAAGCTGATAGAATTTAACTGTTTCTCTCTCCTTGAAATCATAGCCTAACTAAAGCCTGTAGCTGAGCTGGCAGCCTGGGTGGAGGAGTGAACTTCATCCGTGAAAGCCACCCTGGCTTCTCAAGCCACTTCTTCAAAATTAAGGTCTCAACTAACGGTCCCTACTCATCAGCCTCAGGGGCCTATGAATCCTTTAAAATAAGACACGGCTTTGGGGAGCATTCTTGGAACATCTACATTTTTCCTGGAGGCTGCGCTCATCTGATTCTCTAATGGGTGCCCAATATGCCTTAGAAGCTCTACCTTAGTGACCCAAGAACTCCAGGATCGAAAGAGAGAATTTGGATCAGATCAGCCGTCCTTAGGCTAACCTTGACCCTGCTACCAACTGACCTCAGTTTTCACATCCATATAATGGGTTTGACACCCTCTGGTTCAATATAAGGAGGCAGAGGTGGTCTCTGGGGGGTGTTGCTGACAAGGACACTAGATTTGTTTTCTGTCTGTCACTAGGAGATGGGTAGATGCAGGCTCAGGGCAGTGAGAAGAATGGTGACTTGGCTGAGGACCAGGAATAAAGCTTTCAACCAGCTGGTGAAGTGAGTTTATATGACACTGTTATAAACAGAATCAATTCTCAAAAGGCCAAAGGCAGGCCAGGCTTTTTATGTATGTAGTACAAAAGTTATAAATAGAAGACAGGAAATAGATCAGCTTTTACATTAGCATCAAAGTATAAAGTGGTAGGTTTAAATCTAGGATAGAAGATCAGACAGACCAGGGTTCAAAGCTGTACACTGCCACTGACAGGCTGCCATATTTTGGGCAAGTCACTTTACCTCTCCAAGCCTCCATCAAACCCTGTATCTTCAGATGCCAGCATAGTGTGTCACATGGCAGGTGCTCACGAAATACCGGTTGAATAACTGAATGAAGGAATGAATGCAAAGATCTGGAACTCGGGAGATTGATCTGGGCTGAAGTCATGATTTGGGAGTCAGTGGCTCACAGAGTCATTAAAATGGAGAGGAACTAACTCTGTCATTTAAGGCAGGGGCAATACACTGTGGCCTATGGGCCAAATCTAGCCCATCTCCTGTTTTTATAAATAAAGTTTTATTGAAACACAACGACATCCATTTGATTACATGCTGTCCGTGGCTGTTTTGTGTTACCATGGCAGCGCTGGTAGTCATGGCAGAGACCATCTGGCCCACAAACCTAAACTATTTTCTATCTGTTCATCTTTTTTTTTCATCAAAAAAACGTTGCAGATCCCTGGTTTAAAGGTCTGAAAGAGGAGTTTGAAAAAGAGAAAGGGGGAGAGTGACCAGAGATACAAACTTCATTTCTGCATCTTCAACTTGAAATTCCTCATTGGACTGAAGAGAGCAGTGGGGGCAGCATCTTACCTGCGTGCTCTGGCAGGACTGAGCTCCCGGCAGGTCTTGTCTCTGTCCCAGCTGTTGGTCCCCAAAGCCTCAGTGGCCAGATGCTGGCTCAGCTTATCCGAGGGTCCATCCTGAGTGGGGACAATGGGGCTGCTCTGAGGTTCTGTCCTACAGGGGCAGAAATAAAGAGGCAAAAGTGTTAGGATACGATAGAGACTCTCAACGTTCATCAGCTATTCATAGATGTCCTAATATTTCCCAACTTTCCTTGCAGTTAGGTTGGGGCCATGAGATTATCTTTGGCCAATAGTCGTTGAGTGGGGAGGTAACACGTGTCATTTCAAGTTTGGCGTAGTAAGATCTGTGTGCCTTCTCCAGCTCTTGCTTTGTCACAGGGACGTTGGAGGCCACATGTTCTGAAAGGTGAAGCTCTTTAGTGGAGGAGAGATGCCTGAACCACATCAGACTTTGCATGATAGAAATAAACCTTAGTTAGGTTAAGCCACTGAGATTGAGTTTATTTGTTACTGCAGCATAGCCTGCCCTATCCTAACTAAATCATATAGAGAGGCTGAAAACCAGCATCTCACTTTCTTCCTCAAGGCATAATTAGAGGTCAAAGCATGATAAGATTAGTTCCAACTCCTCTTTGTTATTTCTATTCCATTTGTCTGCCTTATATGGTATAGAGCTACCTGAATTCAAAGAGTGTTTTCACCATTTAGTAGCTATAGGACCAGGGCCAGCCACATAACCTCTCTGAGCCATTTTTCTCAATCATAAAATAGGGATTAATGTCAATACATATATTGTTGAGTTGTTGTAAACATAAAATAATAGAAGCAAACAGGAAGACCTGAAAAAATGTCAGTTCCTCTTCCCTCTACTTCCCCGTGAACCAAACCTCCCATTTGGTGTCCTTGGCAGGCGTGAGTCCACCCATGTGAGATGCAGTTTGCATGAAGGCCTGAAGTTCCCGCCTCCATCTAAGATAAGCGCCAAACAACACAGGGAAATTCTCTTGAGCCCCACCTCCTTTGAGTGCCAGAGAGGGAAAGGAAGTCGCCTAGTTGCTCAGTCTTTGAAGAGACTATCACTCAAACCTCCTGGTTCCTAGCCAGGAGGACTCAGGAGTCTGAGACGCAGGTGGATCTGGCACCAACCAGCAAGCGCCCCTCCCTGCTCACGCTGCCTGCAAATTCCAGGCCAAGCATCGATCAGAAACGTCAGCATCTCTCATGCACCAAGGTCCTGCAGCCAGTTCATCAAGATTGGTTTTATGACTCAGGATGAATGCAACTGATAAGCCCCCTGCTCCTTAGGGCTGCCAGGAAAGCAGGCCCAGCCCAATCAATATCGAAAAAAAGGCAGCAAAACACATCACCTTTGCAGGCACGTATGGTGCAGCTTCAGAAGCAGAGCTGGGAGACACTGCAAGCCCAGGAGAACAAATATTCTACCCAGGGCTTCCCAGCGCTCCTCACGGCCGACTCCATGCTTCCAGAGCTCCCAACCACCCTGCTCAGCTCCAGCTTTTCCCACACCTCCCTGCCCCACCTCTCCTATGAGGGTCCCAGGTCCACGCCTTTGCTCCCGCCAGCCTGCTCATGTGGAATGCTGCCCTAGCTCTTCTCAGGCGACTCAAAGCTTGTGGTTTCTGCCCAAGCCCCCAGCAAGGCTTGCCTCTTCCCATACTTGTCCTATCTTAAGCTAACCTGCATTCATGAACTCCAGTTCCCTCAGTGTCTGCAATGGGTCCAGGCCAGTTCTACACGAGAGGATGCAATGAGCAAGACAGAGATGTTCCCTGTAGATCATGGCGTTTACAGTCTAGATAGTGGAGCAGGCAATAAACACACAAGCAAGGAATAATGTGGCTTATGGGATGGTAATACATTATGGAGAGAACAAATCAGTGTAAGGGGCTAGGAAGTGGGAGAGGTGACTGCCATTTTTGTAAAGAGTAATCAGGGATGGCCTTTCTGAAGGAGTAACAGGAGTGGAGACCTGAAAAACTAGGGACAAACCTTGAGGTTTGTGATGGTTTTACAATGTGTTCACAGATTCGTTGACACTCCCACCATCAAGAGATGGAGCCTAATTTCCCTCCCCTCGAATACTGGCTGGGCTTAGTGAGTCACTTTTAATGAATAGAATAAACTATGGAGAATAGAGTACGTTAGTAGAAGTGATAATGCGTGACTTCCAAGACTAGGTCACAAAGGCAGCTTCTGCTTCGCCCTCTTGACTTGACCACTCCAAGGGAAGCCGGCCACAATATTCTGAGGACACTCATGTAGCCATATGGAGAGGCCCATGTGAAGAAAAACTGAGGCCTCCTGCCAACAGCCAGCACCAACCAGCCATGTGAGTGGGCCACCTTGGAAGTGCATCCAGCCCCAGTCAAGCCTTCAGATGAGATCGCAGCCCCGGATCACAACGGATCACAATTTCATCAAAGATAGTAAGCCAGCCACCCAGCCAAATTCCTGACTCACAGAAACCAAGACATAATAACTGATTATTGTTGTTTCAATCTACAAAGATTTGGGATAATCTGTTGCCCAGTAATATATAATTTCTACACAGGTATCTGCGGGATGCGGGAAATGCACTCTGGACAGAAGTTCAAAGACCCTTGGCAAATACAAGGAACAGCAAGCAAGGGCTCGAGTGATAAGAGAGAAGGTCAGAGATGAGGTCTTTGTAGGTCATGGGAAGACCTTTGGATCCTCCGTGACTGGGACAGAGAGCCTTTTGAACAGAGGATGGCTTACGTTTTAGAAGGATCACTCCAGGGCTGAAGGCACTAGACAGAAAGAGAGGAAGGACAGAGATGAGGAGACTATTGCAATGGTCCAGGCTCAGGTCAGTGGGGCAGCAACAGAGGTGATGAGATGTGGTCAGATTCTGCTACCTTCTGAAGGTAGAACTAGCAGTCTTTGCTGCCAGTTACATGTAGGATGCAAAAGAATAAGAAGGGGAGGGGTCAAAGATGGCTCCATGGTCTTAAGCCAGAGCGATGGAATCACCACCAATGAGGTGGAGAAGGTGATGTAGAGAGCAGACTTTTGGGGAGATCTAACCCCTTTTCTAGGATATGATAGTCCCTTTGCCACTCTTATCGTAGCTCTTAATAATATGCTGTTGCCATTTTGTTGTCTTCTCTCACACTCAACTATGAGCTCCTTGAAAGAAGGATCATGTCTTACTGTCCCCTAGCCCACTGCTTAGTAAACACTGAGCAACATTTACTCAATAAATAAATGCCGGAGCACATGCATTGGCTCAAGAGAACATGTGTTTCAAAAAGCTAGAAAAAAGCTTTTGAGATACTTCAAGCTAATCTCTTTACGTTAGAGTTGGTGGAAATAAACGAGCCAATGCCTCAGTCTACTTAGACGGCTTAGGCAATGCCTTTTCTATCCTACCCCATATTTCTCTTAGAAAAGTGATCAGCAAGCTTCTCAGTGTGTTCCTATGGCCCAGCAGAGCATTGAGTTGGACACACACAAGGAGGAACTTTGGACTGTCTGGGGCCTTATAGGAAGCCGAGACACAAATCTGTGTCAACCAGAGGCAACCCTGTGACAAGCAAACACTGCGACATGATGTGAGGAGTCTGAGTGAATAAATACGTGGTGAGTAGTGCTGGCATTGGGCGAAAGGTCTCAGTGACTTTGTTAATGGAGGGAATAGAGGCATGGGTTATCTGCGGCATAGGGAAAGATGGTGGGTGCTACTGCCAGGCACTGGGAGACAGGCTCAGGGCGAGGACAATGCCTCATTCATCACTGTCTGCAGCAGGGTTCAGGATCAGGGATGGGGAACCCTGGTAATGGCTTGATGAGGACAAGTATAATGGTGTTGCTGCAGTTTATAACTTGACCCTCCCTGATGAGATAGATTGTCCTTTTCATCAAGGGCACTGGCTTCACCTCCCTGGTGGTGCGTACCCCACCTGAGATTACAAAGCAAGCAAAGCCATAATTAATTCTACCAGGCAGTCGGGGAGTAGTGGGGGAAGGAAGACAGGACTCTTCCATAATATAATATAACATTTAAGATCGTCTTTCAAGATGTTCCAACACTTTGCTTCTCAGCTTTCTTAAAACTGAAGGTAGTTTGGGGTTTCTCAAACCTGGCACAGTACCAGAGCCCCGCAAAGAGCTTTTAACCATACAGATTCCTAGGTCCCATCTTAGCCACAATAAATCAGAGCCTTAAGGAATGAAACGCAGAATTTGCATCTTAAAGAAACATCCCAAGGGCCTGCCGAGTGGCGCGATGGTTAAGAACTGGTTTGGGACACCAAAGGGCCCCGGTTCGGATCCCACATATGAGGGCCAGTGACACTGCCTTCCACAGCTAAGATGCTGAACAACAGCTCAACCTGGAGCTGGGCTGCCCTGAGTCACTGGCGATGGCGTAGGCTGCAGCCCCTGTGGCAGTGGGTTGCCATGGGCTACCGTGTGTAGCCAGCAGCCA